ACCCTAAACCCTAAACCCCTTTTGGAATCCCTGCGGAAACGTGCCTTCTTGCCCCGAGCCGAGGTCGGGGATGCTGAGCGTCTGGTGCTTCTTGGGCCTTGCTGCCGGTTTCCAAAGAGAGACTGGGTCCCATAGGCACCTTGTGGGAGTTTCCGAAAATTAGGGGTACCTTATTTTGGGGTCCTTATATGTAGGGTACTATATTAGGGTCCCCTATTTTCAGAAACCTCCTTGTGCCTCTTCTAGTGTTGGGTCTATGAAAACGGGTATTCCAAACCCTAAACCGGCATACTGGGGAATCAAGGACACTGGCTTCGCGATCTCCACTTGGATTTCCGATTGGGTCAAGGAGAAATGCCCAGATGCTTGCCTTCCCAAGAATTAAGTAGGTCACCTGCAACCTTTTGGGGCTTATGTATTCCTACAGTAATTTGAAAGGTTAACCTTTCTTGGGCTAGGATACTCAGCCCCGCAGTTTCCGATACAGCCCGTAGATTCCAGAGCATCAATGGAAGCAGCGAATAAAGGGCGGCTGTAAGCTTCATGCTCACAGCGGCTAGACCTGTAGCGTGTTATGTAATGAAATTTTAAGCTCCAAACCCTAAACCCCTACACTAGTTCTTATTTGGCAGTTCTACCACTAAGCCCAAAACCCCCCAAAGCCCCAGAAACTCCTGAATCGGTTCTTCCACGCTTCGGCATCCGAGGTGGATGGCAACAGCGACAAATGTGTGGGGCAGCTGCACGGGCTCGATAAAATCCTGCAGCAGATATGTGAAGAATGGGAGGCTCTCACTCCACAAGGCATGGTTTTGGGTTTGGGGACTTAGTGATCAAGACTGATGGGGACATCGGAAACTGTTACCCTAAACCCTACGCCCTAGTCGGTTTCATCTTTCGATTTCCGTTAGCAAAGGTTTCGTCTTTCTGGTGGGAAGCAGACTGGAATCTACCTTTTGGGAGTTTCCGAAAATAAGGGGTATCTTATTTTGGGGTCCTTAAAAAAGGATCCTACTATTTAAGGTACTTACTATATTAGGGTCCCCTACTGTCGGAAGCCCCCCCATTTGTTGGCACCTGTCCAGTCCAGGGCGGTGTGCGGAGGTTGCACGCAGCATGTTGCAGAAGGGCACTTGGACCAAACAGCTGCAATGGATGACATCTTTGCCAGAAGCAGCCCGGAGTCGTTGGATTTTCATTGGGGTTCACGGCGGGTTTAGGGTTGAGGGACAAAGTGTGCCACAAGTGCCGCCGCCGCACTCCTGTCCTACCTTTCCTGCCCTGAGTACGCGTATCCGCATTGCTTTTACTTCTCCTGCAACTCCTACTGTATTATTGTTCCGATTACTATCCCGACTACTTTCATTAGGCCTTCTGTTACGTAGCACGAGTTTTGGGATTCCGCTATTCGGTGACTATTCACGTTTTGCGTCATGTTTGGCATTGCTTAGAGTCGCACCCAGGACGAGAAGGATTCTGACTTCTTCGCCCTTCTCTGGACAGGCTTCGCAGATGAGCCAGCCTTCAAAACCTCCGAGAGTACCAGCTCGAAGGCTCTCCAGCGATTCGCTCGTGTTTATCATGGCATGCTGCTCAATCCAGCACCTGGGGGCTCTCCAACTGTTCAGGGGGCGGCAAAGATGAGGAGTGCCGAAGTGTCCCAGTTGGGCGCATGCTGTTGGCCTGCCGTGCAGGATTTTTGGCTGGGCTATTCCCTCATGTTCGTAGATTCATGGTCCGGACAAGAAAGGCCTCCGGCAGAAGTTGTGGTGCCCATAAACAAATGCATCGATCCCAGCACAGAAGACGGGTGCGTAGGTGCTCCACTGCAGTCCACGGTCCTTGTGTCAGAAGAGCTACCTTTCCTGAGGAAGCGGATAAAACAGCACATCCCCAGCTGGCAACCTAGCTTCGTGATCTTGGACATGCGGAAGTCCTGCAGTTCAGTGACACCGGTGGTGCAGGCGGCTTTGGGCACGGCCGTTGCGAAAAGTAAGGTGAGCTGTTTCGACTGCACAGGCACGCTGGAGGAGTGTTATGCCGAATGCCTGCGCCAGAGGCCCCTGACTAGACAAGCATGGGCCGCTTCGAATGCACCTTTCCCGGATGCCAACGTGTCGTGTGCCTGGAGCGGGGTGAAATGCCGAAAAATGTTCACGGAGGAGATAGTCGTCACAGAGATTTGGTGGTCCAGTGTGCAGCTACAAGGGCAGCTTACCAGGTGAGGCCGTTCTGCATGAGGGTCCTGATTGAAGCCCTATCATCTGTAGTATATTAAATATACATCGTGTATGAACTCCCTATTCTAGTACTGCCAATATTTCATTGGTCCAGTAGGGGAAACACACATCGCATATTCAATTCCGTACTGTAGCACTTCTAGTAGGTTCTTTGCGGCCCGAAATGAGCTTTAAACCCTCGCATAAACCCTGAATCCCAAACCCTAAACCCACACCCCAAAACCTTAAACGGTAAGTAAGCCCGAAGACATAAGCCCTAAACCCACCTCAAGCCCTAAGCCCCAAACTCTGAGCCCTCTGCAGGTTCGCTGGCTTGGAACGTCTGACCGTGCTATACCTGCCCTGGAACAAGGAGCTGGCAACGATTAATCTAGGCGCCTTTATAATTTTACGAGGGTTTCGGGGGTCATTATCATAGTATAGTAGTATAGGGGTCTTCATCATGTGTAAAGAGGGTTTCGGGACGGGAGTCAGTTGTAGTATACTGATGAAGAGGAAGCCCTGAGGGATGCTATTCGTAATTATTCCGACTGCTGCGAGAAGGCCAAAGTTTGGGGTTTAGGGCTTGGGGTGCTGGGCAGTTTTCGGGTTTAGGGTTTAGCGTGCGGTTTGTTTAGAGTTCAGAGTTTTGTCGAATTGCAAAGTTTAGGGTTTGGGTTTCCGAATTGCACAGTTTAGGCTCCGTGGTTTAGGTATTTATGCCTTCCTGGAAAGAGGATCTGGCGGGGGACTGCGAGCAAGTGAAGAACTTGAAACGATTGCGGCGTTTGGACCTCCGTGGCACTGCGGTTGCTAGGCGCCCTCTAGTTCCCTTTGAGTTTTACGTGAGTCTGTTAGGAAAGACACTAATCCCTCGACCCGAAACCCATTGCACTCAACAAAGCCATCCGAAATCCCCAAAAAGGGTGCCTTTGTTTGTTCAAGGTTTCACTATTTCCCCTGATTGGGCCTCAGGGGATCTTATCTTTTTTGCACAGGCCTTTAAAGGGCCAGTGACACAGAGGGGGAGCATGATTAATAAATACCATTCTAATATTAATAATGATAATATAATTGTTACAAAAATTCAAAATATTGTTGAAATTTTCGAAAATGAAAACCCCGAGGTTGTCTGTGACCTGGAAAGCCTTGGGAGGCTCAGGACGCTGAGGAGAGTCAAGCTCACAGGATCTCAGCGGCTTCGGGGTTTAGGGTTTAGGGGGTTTAGGGGGTTTGGGGGGTTTAGGGGGTT